TAAGTCATGAATGAGGATGTTATGTCCTGTTTATATTGACTACATGTTTTTATTTGCTGCTTATTTAGCCATTCTTCATAATGTTTTTAGTCACTTGTGAAAAAAAAATAAGTGAGAAATTACACTGTGAGTGGAATTTGTACTTCAAAGATGCTTTTATTTATTTGTATACAGGGAATATCTTAAATAGCAAAAATCAGTGATTCAGGTGAAAATGTAGCTCAGTGATAAAGAACGTGCTTGGCATGCGCAGGGCTCTGGGCTCAGTCCAGCATTTCTACAGAGTCCAGTAGTGTCTCTCAGATTATCTGAACAGCATAGTTAAAGTAATTTTGAGTGTATACTATCTCATTAGCCCCATAGTATCTCTGTAGTGAAAGAGGGATTGAAAGGGAGAGGTTAAGAATTGAGATCATTCTTATCTCATTTTTAAATTAATGAGTTGAAGCAAAATCATGCATTTGAGTTCAAGGCAAAGCCTTCACTAGAACAAAAATATCTCTGAAACCTCTTCTTCCGAAGCTCTTTCATTAGGGATAATTGTCTTGCATTTTTATTTAAGTTAATCTTGTCATTCTAAAATTTGGTCAGTTATCTTTATTGTAAAGAACTGAACCTTACATGCCTATTGATGAATCTTTAAGAAAACCCCATACAGCCAGCCTTGGTGGTGAAGGCCTAGAATCCGAGAATCCTAGCTAATGGGAAGTTGAAGCAGCAGAACTACTTGAAAGGCATCCTAAGCAATTTAGTGAGACTTTGTCTCAAAATAAAAAGAAAATAGGAGGCAGTGACAGGAAGATTGCCACAAGTTTGAAGAAATCCAGGTCTACAGAGTAAATTCCAAACCAGCCAGGGCTACATTGTGAGAGTCTGTCTTCAAAACAACAACATAACAACAACAACAACAAAAAACCCAAAATTAGAAAAAACAAAACCGCAAACTACTATCCAGTTAGATGAAAAATTAAAAAAGAAGGCTGAGAATATAAGTTGTAGAGTGCTTTCATAGCGTTCAAGAGACACTAGCCTCATTCCTCAGTACCTCACACACATGCACACACACACATACACGCAAGCAAGCAGAGGAAAATGATGTGTATATGTTTCTGTGAAAATGCCATGATTTATAGCTTATATTTTAACTTTGTTTTTACAGTAATTCTCCAGAATTGGATAATCTTAAGTGTATTTTCTGTAAAATTTTTTCTATCATGATAAATTCCTACCAATCTGATTTGTAATTTGTTCTTAAAAGAAAAAAATTCCTTTCCATCTATGTTTACATTTAATAAGCTATATCTTTAAAGCATTCACATATTAATAGCTGTAATTTTTTTCATTATTCTTTCAGTCTAGCTGAAAGTGAGTTTTCATCTTCCATTCCTTTCTTCATTTATCACAATATCAGGATATTCAAATTGTCGATTACTAAATTTTATGTTTGTTTTCTTATTCTGTCAGATACCTTGTCCAGGGTTACTAAATATGTTAAAAGCTTAGTGCTTGTATAAAATACCTAAGATTTGATTGGTCAGTTGGTGACACTGAAGATGGAAGGATGCTGAAGTAAAGGAGACTTTCTCTTTTGGGACCCACTGGGACATTTTCAATATGTATTCCCTCATCTTTTACTCCCACATAAAAAGAATTTTTTAGTGATCTTTCTTTTGTTGGAATATATCATAATCTCCTATATGAGTTGTAGCGGATGAAGGAAATTCTTTTCTATAAAAGGAAAGGAATGATTGATAAGAATCACAACATAAAGCAAGTACTTACATGCAGTCTTACATAACTGGTAGAGATTCATATAGACGAGACACTTTTAAGTATATCAAAAACTATTGTAGAACAGATTTTATCATCAGACAGAACCACCCTGAAAAAGTGTTAGCATGATTGGAGCAAAGCTTCTTTAGTAACACAGCATTCTGTCTTCTTGTCCTCAGTAAGACACACCTTCAGGACTTTGGCAGCCAGATATTAGAAAACCAGCATCAGTTGTAATTGATAAAGGCTACTGGGTAATTAATTTGAAGGTTATGGAACTATGAATTTTTCTCCTTTTGTAGATATCTATAAATCTATAAACAACAGTACTTGTTATTCTAACAGCACTGGATGATAAAGACAGTTCTGATTAGGGTGTTCCTGTGAAGTTCCTTTCCATCCCTGTGATCCTTATCAATCTCAGATTTGTCACTTGTTTTCAAAAGAAAGAATCCCTCTTTATTACCTGAGAAATACCGACTCACTTTGTCCTGAATCTTTATTCTGGTACCTAATATTGTGCTATAAACTCAAATACCTTTTCCCCCTGTCTTCTGCATTTTGTGGATCTTTTATGAACAGCATCCTTTAAATTTTTTATATTTTTAATATTGCTATTTTGGCAAAACCAAAGGTTGTGGCTTTCCTTTGTTTTTCTTATAGCCATTGTTCCAGCTCCCCAGTTTTGCTTGTCATTCTCTGTCTTGGGGTACTCCATTGAGTGTTTTCTATATATAGACCCTTCTGAGAATCAAGCATAATAAATGTTTTTTCTTCTTTCTGTTACCTATGACATATATGAAAAATTTAGAGCATTTATTCCAGGAAAGCCTAGCACATAGTTTCTGTTACATGTAGATGGCAGTCTTCTTTTACGTAAAAGCTCTAGGGTCTACACTAAAGGCCAAATAATTGTCTGATTTTGTTTTCACACATTTGTTCCTTAAGATGAAAAGACAGCTTATGTAAAACATAGAGATAGAAGAAAGAGTGTAGTATCTAAGAATATTCTGTATTACCTTTGTAATATTCAATATATTTAAAATGCCTTAAAGAGTTGCTTATCAAACATATATGGGGGACTTTTTGATATGACTTTGAGAGATATTCAAGTTCTATATTTGCTACTAGTCATAAAAATCAGCAAGTAATATTTATCTACTCCCATGAAAAGTTGCTGAGCAGTAATAATGCTTCAAAACACTTTGCTCCAATCATGCTAACACTTCCCAGGGTGCTTATATGCTAAGATACAGGCTGTGACAGTACCCTTGCTACTGCCCAGCCCACTTCCCCTTGCAGTGTACTTAATAAGCCTACTTTCTTCCCCCACCGTGTGTGTGTGTGTGTGTGTGTGTGTGTGTGTGTGTGTGTACATTTCCTTCATTCCCATACAACATCTCACTTTTTTTTGGATCTCTCAAGGCTTTTGTGGCTGTAGCAACTGGGATAAGTTAATTTCCTCATGATTCTGTTATAAGTTCATAGTCAAGTAAAAGAATCTATAATTCTTATGCTTGAATATGGAAACAATATTGACCAAATCTAGCAGATTTTTTTTCAGGGCTTCTCAGATTCATTAATGCTTTAACTCAAGGTTCTTGGTGATGTCAGTTCAGCTTTGATGTAAAGATGACCAGATGCTGTAACATATGCGTGTAAAAGGTGCTTTTGAAGTGATGGTACTACATTTCCTTTTCTCAGTTTTCCTTCAGAATTGTTCTATAGCCTCATTATCTTAGCTTTTCTAAGTAGAGCTCTTGTTAGCAGAAGCTTGCTGGCTGTATTAGTCAAGGTTCATAGAAAATTTTTCTTGATATATGGTGGGGCTGGGGATTCTATTTCTGAAAGTGGTCATTTTTCTCTTCCCTTTCAGGGGGAAAAATAGCCTGGAATCTCAAACTAAAGAGTCTTAACTAAGACAAGCTGTTATGAGAAACCAAGATGGCTAGGGATATTTATTAACTGCTCATCTACATTAGAGCAGAATTAAAATTTTCATACTAAACATTTGCTATTTGTAGGAAATATAGAAAAATAAAAATGAGCCTCCTAGTTAAAACAAACAAACAAAAAAGGCACATCACAATTTAAGGATAGCTACAATACAAGTATTCTACATTCACTTGTGAAAATTGCTGGTAGCTGTCATCAAGTTTGTTATAAAGAAGTTCTTAGCCAGTCCTGAAGATACCTGATAAGCTAGGGTCAGATGGAAGGGGAGGAGGTCCTCCCCTATCAGAGGACTTAGAAAGGGGCAGGGAAGAGTTAAGGGAGGGAAGGTGGGATTGGGAGGGAATGAGGGAGGGGACTATGGCTGGGATACAAAATAAATAACCTGTGATTAATATAAAAAATTTAAAAAAAGAAATTATAAAAAAATAGAATTCACACATTTCATGTGCCAAGTTCAAGGCGTAAGCTCTCAGTTTCCTGCTCCTGCTGCCACGCCTTCTCACTATAATTGAGTCTTGACCCTCTGTAACTGCCCAAATAAACTTTTTTTTCAATAAAAAAAAAAGAAGTTCAATGACTGATATTTTGTAAGTGTTAAATGTTGAACTTCCTTTACTCAATATCTTAAGGAAGTTGCGAGTGTGTTTGTGTTTGTGTGTGTGTAGTTACTGCATGACATGCACAGGATTCAGTTCTCTTCTACCATATGATTCCTATCATCAGGCTTAGTGACAAGTGCCCTCCCTCACTGACCCATCACACCTGTTCCTCTGTACCCTTAGTTTCTTGATGGAAACATGGGTTTTGTCTGTAGCATTCAATTTCTGGGACTAAATTAATGGTTGAATTGCAGCTTTTCCTTTAAGTTTATTTGGATTTTGTCATAGAATGTAAACTGTGAGTGCTGAAGTGCTGCTGGTACGTGGAACCCGTCTTCCATCACCATCTCAGGGTTTGCAACTTTTATTCAAGACTGTTCACACTTGTATGTTCTGAGTGATAGAAAAGTAAGAGACTATTTTTAATGTAACTGCTTAATTTCACATTTATTTAGGGATATTTCAAAAGCAGTGCTTTTTCTCTGTCATCTCTAAAATATGCATATCAAATTTGTATTGAATTTTGTTATTGGATAACATCCATAAGGCCTGATTCTTTATTTAAATAAGAAATATGCTGCACCACTTCTGGCTTATTATGTAGATTCTAATACCTGTGGCCAAAATTCGAAGTTATCCTCTTCTGTCTTTTCCTTCACTGCTGACTGGCAGAATCCCAAGGACTGCAGCAAAGCCAGGAAGCTGGTGTGTAATATCAACAAGGGCTGTGGCTATGGCTGTCAGCTCCACCACGTGGTCTACTGCTTCATGATTGCGTATGGCACCAGGCGAACGCTCATCTTGGAGTCTCAGAATTGGCGCTATGCTACTGGTGGATGGGAGACAGTGTTTAGACCTGTCAGTGAGACGTGCACGGACAGATCTGGCCTCTCCACGGGACACTGGTCAGGTAAGGAGCTTGTGCAACATGGCGGATATCTGATAAGGTCAGATTAGCAGATTTCAAGGTACAGTTTTACAGACTATAATCACCTTTTCTTCTTGATTCATAAATGCTATGCCTTAGGCTAATAAAATAAAGAACAGTATTTTATTGTTACAATATACAAAAATATAAAGTAATGTATACCCAGGTGTACGTACCTTTAATTCCAGTGCTTGGGACTCTTGAGATGGAAGGATTATGAGTTCAAGCTCAGTCTAGGTTACATGGCATAAATCTGTTTCTAAAATAAATAAATAAAATTTATTTAATAATTTATTTTACTTTAATAAATATTTTATTTTTTCCAATTTTTTTATTTTTTTAATATTAGTTCCAGTTTGTTAACTTTGTATCCATGCTATATCCCGCTCCCTCTTTCCCTCCCAAACCCACTCTCCCTCCCTCATCTCCTCCCTGCCCCTTTCCAAGTCCACTGATAGGGGAGGACCTTCTCCCCTTTCATCTGATACTACTGGTTTATCAGGTCTCTTCAGGACTGGCTGCAAAGTCCTCCTATGTGGCCTAGCAAGGCTGCTCCTCCCTCAGGGTGGGGGGAGGTCAAAGAGCCAGTCATTGAGTTCCTGTCAGAAATAGTCCCTGTTCCCCTTATTAGGGTACCCACTTGGATACTGAGCTACCAAGGGCTACATCTGAGCAGAGGTTCTAGGTTACATCCATACATGGTAATATTTTATCTTGATTTAGCGAATTCACTGTTTTTTTTTTTTTTTAAGGGGTACCATTTAATATTTTAATAAGGATGATGTAAGTTTAAGTTTCACTTTTAAGGTGATATTACTGAATTCATTTACTATTTATAATTATTACAGAAAGTCGACTCAAGAGTCTGAAACCTAAGAGTTTCAAACATTAACATGCATGCATGGAACACTTGTTAAAATGGAGGATTCTGATACAGGCTGTCAGGAATGAACCCAAGAATCTGTATTTCTGAGAAAATTTCTATATCTTGGGACCAAAGTTTTAGTACCATTGAGATAGACTGTGCTGACAACTTTGTCTCCATTTTAGTTGAGGACAGTAAAACCTTGTTTGTTTATATAATTTTATATAATCATGGAACTGTAGCCAGTTAAAGCAAAGGCCTGTTTTCCCCAAGCTCTGGAAATTTCTTCAGTGGTAGTCAGATCATAGAAGGAAAAACGTAGACTGACTGCATTTATTAGTGTGTAGTTTGGCCCTGCATGTTTGCTACAAATAGTTACTTGATTTTCAGACCTTTTAGTGTGAAGGTGAATTTCAAGCATTCAGTTTCTGAATGTTGCAGGTAGACAGGATGCAGAAATCAGCTTTCCTTCACTCGTGGAGTCTACTTGAGGCTGAGGGACATGTCCAAGATCACATAGCTTCTAATGACAGAGGTTTACTTGCCTTTAGTACAGCTCTTTCCAGTAATTCATGCTAAACAGTTATTTAGCCAGAACAACCTATAAGAGTCTAGTGTTATAACTAAATTGAAGTGGCCCCAAATGTCTAGGAATTAAGTAAAATTCACACCTATATACTTATTCCTTCCCCTGTGCTGTAACTAGCATAGTATTATCTAAAATCGTCAATTTCCCTGGTGCTAATGAACTGACCTTTGCCATTTGGTAATCTTTAATTCATTAAAATGGTGGTTATTTTAAATTGCTTATAAAATTATAAATAACTTAGACATTAATCTTATATCCAAAACAATGAATTTATGTTTATGATCAGAATGTTTTTGTTTTTATGAAATGTAAAGATGCCATCCATTTTGTTTATATAAATTATTAATAGTATACAAGATACATATGTATATTAGAGAAACTAAAACATTTCAAAATAGAGGAGACAGCTCCTTGATATTATCAATTCTTTGGTTATAAAGATATCTGTTGTTGTGACTTATACAAAGAATCCTGGGTTTTTCTTCCCCACCTTTGGCTCCACGTCCATGAAATTCTTATTGTTCAGAGACATTTTACACGATGTGCCCGTGGCTGGAATTTAATGATTCCTATTTATATGCATCACTAGTGCAGGAATTTGTGTGTATATCAGATCATTTCAAGCTACCTCTTGCCTTCTAGGCTGACTTCTGTTGCTCCTGCATTATTTTATAGTGGTAAGACCATATCCTGGACTGGGAAGATGGTTTTGCATATCAGAGCACTTGCTTTGCAAGCATGAAACCTGCGTCCAGATTCTGGAACCCATGTATAAAGCTTAGCATTGCTGTACACATCTGTAATCCTGGTGCTACAGGGCGGGGGCGGGGGGTGGGGGTGGCAGTGGAGACTGGAGAATCACTGGGGTTCTAGCCACTAGCCTAGCCCTGTGGTCAGTGAAAGACCCTCTCTTAAAGGGATAAGGTGGAATGTGTTAGAGCAGGACACTTTCCTTCTGGCCTTCATGCATATGACCACTTGCGCCCATTTGTATACAGTGCATGTGTGTGTGTGTGTGCACACATACACACACAATCTTTTATAAGTGTTTTGGTAGGCGAAGGGAGGGAGAAGCATAGTAAACAGTATGCGTCTAATTAAAATAACCAAACCCCTTGTGTCGCCTGCACACATCGTGTATACTCTTAATAGTTGTGTGCAATAGAGAGAATAGAACAAAGTCAAGGTATTTTTCTTAGTAGGAGGTAGCTCCTCAACTTACACTTAGTAGGCCACATTGATCTATTTATGCAGCTGTAATAGGCATCTTTCCTTTTTATTTAATTCTTTGAAGTATCTTTCAACAATTAATGATTTGTATTGAAAATATAGTATTCTGTTTTAGGCTAAAGGTGATAACTAACTTCTAAAATCATTTTTGTATTTGGCATACATACCCTTGAATGTAATGATGTAGTGATATGAGTTCCAGTGATTTAAACACTCTCTGGGATTTCTTTTTTCTTTAAAATTTTTCATACAAGTCTTTGACTTGCTTGGTTAGGGTTACACCAAGGTACTTTATGTCATTTGTGGCTATTGTGAATGGTGTTGTTTCTCTAATTTCTTTCTCAGCCCTTTTGTCTTTTGTATACAGGAGGGCTACTGATTTTTTTGAGTTAATTTTGTATCCGGCCACTTTGCTGAAGGTGTTTAACAGCTGTAGGAGTTCCCTGGTAGAGTTTTTGGGGTCACTCATGTATACTATCATCTGCAAATAGTGATAATTTGACTTCTTCCTTTCGCATCTGTATCCCCTTGATCTCCTTCAACTATCTTATTGCTCTAGCAAGGACTTCCAGCACTATGTTGAAGAGATATGGAGAGAGTGGGCAGCCTTGTCTTGTCCCTGATTTCAGTGGGATTGCTTTAAGTTTCTCTCCGTTCAGTTTGATGTTGGCTATAGGCTTGCTGTATATCGCCTTTACTATGTTTAGATATGTGCCTTGTATCCCTGATCTCTTCAGTACTTTAAACATGAATGGATGTTGGATTTTGTCAAATGCTTTTTCAGCATCTAGGGAGATTATCATGTGGTTTTTTTTCTTTGAGTTTGTTAATATGGTGGATCACATTGATGGATTTCCATATATTGAACCACCCCTGCATACCTGGGATGAAGCCTACAAATTTCAAGTCTCTGAAGAAAGAATTAGAGGAAGATATGAGAAGATGGAAATATCTCCCATGCTCATGTCTTGGCAGGATTAACATAGTAAAAATGGCCATCTTACCAAAAGCAATCTACAGATTTAATGCAATTCCCATCAAATTACCAACACAATTGTTTACAGACCTGGAAAGAAAAATTCTCAACTTCGTATGGAATAACAAGAAACTGAGAATTGCTAAAACAATCCTCTACAATAAAAGATCTTCTGGAGGTATCTCCATCCCTGATCTCAAGCTGTACTATAGAGCAACAGTTATAAAAACTGCATGGTACTGGCATAGAAACAGAATGGTGGATCAATGGAATCGAACAGAAGACCCAGAAATAAACCCACACACTTACGGACACCTGATTTTTGACAGAGATGCCAAAACCATACAATGGAAAAAAGATAGCATCTTCAACAAATGGTGCTGGTCCAACTGGATGTCTACATGTAGAAAAATGAAAATAGATCCATACTTATCACCCTGCACAAAACTGAAGTCCAAGTGGATCAAAGACCTCAACATAAAACCAGACACATTAAATCAGCTAGAAATAAAAGTGGGGAATACCCTAGAACTCATTGGTACAGGAAAAAACTTCCTGAACATAACACCAACAGCACAGGCTCTAAGAGCAACAATCAATAAATGGGACCTCATGAAATTGAAAAGCTTCTGTAAAGCAAAGGACACGGTCATCAAAACAAAGCGACTGCCTACAGATTGGGAAAGAATCATCACCAACCCTTTATCTGACAGAGGACTCATATCCAATATATATAATATATATAAAGAACTAAAGAATCTGAAATGCAGCAAACCAAGTAATCCACTTAAAAAATGGGGAACAGAGCTAAAGAGAGAATTCTCTGTAGAGGAATATCGAATGGCAGAGAAGCACTTAAAGAAATGCTCAACCTCATTAGCCATTAGGGAAATGCAAATCAAAAGAACCCTGGGATTTCACCTTACACCCATCAGAATGGCCAAGATGAAAAACTCAAGGGACAACACATGCTGGAGAGGTTGTGGAGAAAGGGGAACCCTTCTCCACTGCTGGTGGGAATGTAAACTTGTACAACCACTCTGGAAATCAATCTGGCACTTTCTCAGACAACTAGGAATAGCGCTTCCTCAAGATCCAGCCATACCACTCCTAGGCATATACCCAAAAGAGGCTCAAGTACACAAAAAGGACATTTGCTCAACCATGTTTGTAGCAGCTTTATTTGTAATAGCCAGAAGCTGGAAACAACCCAGATGCCCCTCAACTGAAGAATGGATGCAGAAACTGTGGTACATCTATACAATGGAGTATTACTCAGCAATGAAAAATAAGGAAATCATGAAATTTGCAGTAAATGGTGGGACCTGGAAAGGATCATCCTGAGTGAGTTGTCCCAGAAGCAAAAAGACACGCATGGTATATACTCACTCATATAAACATACAACATAGAATAAACCCACCAAAATCTGTACATCTAAACAAACTAAGCAAAAGAGAGGACCCTAACTAAAATGTTCAATCCCCATCCTGAAAGGCAAAGAGGATGGACATCAAAAGAAAAAGAAAACAGGAAACAACCTAGGAACCTGCTACAGAGGGCCTCTGAAAGCCAGAAGAAAACAGGAAACAACCTTGGAACCTGCCACAGAGGGCCTCTGAAAGCCTCTGCAGTATAGACTGTCAAAGCAGATGCTGAGCCTGATGGCCAACTGATGGGCAGAGTGAATGGAATTTTATGTAAGAAGTGGGAAATAGTAAGAGCTGGAGGGGACGGGAACTCCACAAGGAGAGCAACAGAACAAGATAATTTGAACACAGGGAACTTCCCAGAGACTCATACTCCAACCAAGGACTATTCGTGGAGATGACCTGGAACCCCTGCACAGATGTAGGCCATGGCAGTTCAGTGTCCAAGTGGGTTCCATAGTAATGGGAAGAGGGACTGCCTCTGACATAATCTGATTGGCCTGTTCGTTGATCATCTCCCCCTGAGGTGGGAGCAGCCTTACCAGGCCACAGTGGAGGACAATGCAGCTACTTTTGATGAGAACTGATAGACTAAGATCAGAAAGGAGAGGAGATCCTCCCCTATCAGTGGACTTGGGGAGTGGCATGCATGCAGAAAGGGGAGGGAGGGTGGGATCGGGAGGGGAGGAGGGAGGGACTCATGGGGGGATACAAAATGAATAAAGTGTAATTAATAAAAAATTTAAAAAAATTTTTTTCTTATTTTAAAAAAATACTGGGATTATCATTTAAATTATTTTGGCACTTTGTTTTTTTTTTTTTTCCCATTGCTGTAATGAATTGAACTTAGGTATTAATTTAATAAATTGAATTGAAAAGAATTTGTAAGTGAAATGAGAATCAAGAAAGAGTTTGCAGTGTAAGTATGCATGTCTGTAAATGGCCATTTTCTATATTTGTTAATATAAACTGTATGGTTCCATTTTTCTCTGTGGCTCATTACAAAAGAGTTTTACCATCCTTTGCTCGTGCCTGGCACCCATGCTAGAGTAGTCCTTACATGAAGAAGACAGTCTCTCCCCTGTCGTGGGCAGGCGAGGGGCACAGGCAGGGGCTGTGTGAGGACATGAGGTATACTGTGCACTACTGTAGTGGGAGTAAATTTGGACTACTGCACAGCACAAAGTTAAAATAGGTTCTTCTGGAAGAGTGGATAGGGTGCCACCAGGCAGGAAACGCCTGAGACTTCTGGCTGTTTATTTTCTCTTGAAGGCTTAAAATGTGGCAGCAGGATATGCATATTCCTGAGTTATTTGTCAAGGACTTGACCGGAGCACTTTAGATTTATTTTTATTTTTGTGTGTGAGGTTTTTGTATGTGTGTGCCCTGCGCATCCCTGTTGTCTGTAGAAGTCAAAAGAGGGCATTTGATATGTTGGAACCGGAGCTGGGATGGTTGTGGGCCATTACATCAGTGCTGGGAGCTAAACCTGGGACCTCTGCAAGAACAGTAAGTGCAGTTTACCACTGAGCCATCTCTCCAGGCCCACAAGAGCATTTGAAATGCAATGACAAATAAATACAAACAAGTAACACAATTAAACTACCTCCCAATGCATTCCAGATAGTCTCATCAAGCTGTGTCAAACACTTATAAAATTATAATTTTTTAAAGTGAAAAGTCTGTTGTTTTTTTTTTTTTTTTTTTTATTTTATTTTTTCTTTTTAGTTACATTTTCTTAACTCCGTGTCCCAGCTGTATCCCGCTCCCTCATTCCCTCCCCAACCCCACACTCCCTCCCTGGTCTCCTCCCTGCCCCTTTCCAAGTCCCCTGATAGGGGAGGACCTCCTCCCCTTTCATCTGTCCCTGTTTTATCAGGTATCTTCAGGGCTGGCTGCAAAGTCCTCCTCTGTGGCCTAACAGACTGCTCCTCCCCTGGGGGGAGGTGTCAAACAGCCTGCCCTTGAGATCCTGTTAGAAATAGTCCGTGTCCCCCTTACTTTGGAAAACTACTTGGTTACTGAGCTACCACAGGCCACATCCGAGCAGAAGTTCTAGGTTATATCCATAGATGGTCCTTGGTTGAGTTTCAGTCTCAGAAAAGACCCTGTGCCCAGATATATTTGGTCCTTTTAGAGCTCCAATCCTTTCCATATCATACTAACTTCCCTTCATTCATATGATTCCCTGCACTCTGCCGAGGGTTTGGTTATGAGTCTTAGTGTCTGCTTTGAAACACTGCTAGGTAGAGTCTTTCAGATGCCTTTTGTGGTAGACTCCTGTCATAAGTTCAAGGCACATCCCATTTGTCTTTCTAAATGAGGATTAATCACCTTCGCCTGTGTCCACTTTCTTGATTATCTTCTTTAGGTGTGTAGATTTCATTATGTTTATCATGTCTTGTAGGTCTATATAAGCGAGTATATACCAAGTTTGTCTTTCTCCTTCTGGGATACTTCACTCAGAATGATCTTTTCTAGATCCCACCACTTGCCTGCAAATTTCATGATTTCCTCCTTTTTGATTGCTGAGTAGTATTCCATTGTGTAAAAATACCACAATTTCTGTATCCATTCCTCCGTTGATGGAAAAGTCTGTTGTTAAGAATGAATCTTCGCAATATATTTCTCCCTGAAAGTTTTTGGCAGGATGAGTCCAGTGGTTTAGGAAGGATTACATAATTATCATTAAAGTCACTGTGGACTGAAAGCACTTTCGTTATTGAGGTTTCTGAAAATCTCTTCAAGTCTATTTTGGACCTGCCAAAGGCTGCTAATAAAGTATAGGTGTTCTAACTTCCTGTAAAATGTTGGGTAACTTTTTCAGAGATATGAGTGTTTTTGTAAATACCTACCACACTTTTTATGGTAATAGGTGTGTTCCTTAAAATATTATATAAGTTAAATTTTATAAATCAAGTCATGTTTTAAATATTCATGTATAGCTGTGTAAATATATTGAATATTAGAATTATAGTTGAGTCTTCCACCTCTTCCTAAAGAGATGTTCCTTGTAATCCAATTAAAGTTTAAATACCTTTAAACTTAATACAGTTTGTATTTTCTACAGAAATTGCAGATAGCATATTATAAGTCAAATTGGTTTTTCTCGGAAATTAACTGTATTGTCATAGTTATTGTTCAAAATTTTGATGTACAACTTTATTTTTAAATACATTTATCAAAAATACTATATAGATGCCAATAATGAGCATATTTATGTTTGTGGTTTTTAATAAAAATATATTACTGCTGTAAACAAGGAAGTCCAGTATTATCCAGTTTTTTTAAAAAATGAAATGTTTGTAGGCACTATAGGATATGTAACATAACAAAACCTAGTCCCTGCTTTTCAGGAACTTGCCTTTGACTGTATAAGCCAGATATCTGTAAATATTTTTTTTCTTTATTTACAGCTTTTTTTTATTAATTACATTTTATTCACTTTGTATCCCCCCATAAACCCCTTCTTCCTCCCCTCCCAATCCTACCTTTCTTCCTCCTTCTCCATGCATGCCCCTCCCCAAGTCCACTGATAGGGGAGGTCCTCCTCTTCTTCCTTCTGATCCTAGTCTGTCAGCTCTCATCAGGAGTGGCTGCATTGTCATCTTCTGCGGCCTGGTAAGGCTGCTCCCCCCTCAGGGGGAGGTGATCAAAGAGCAGGCCAATCAGTTCATATCAGAGGCAGTCCCTCTTCCCATTACTGTGTAACCCACTTGGACACTAAACTGCCATGGGCTACATCTGTGCAGGAGTTCAAGGTTATCTTTATGCATGGTACTTGGTTGGAATATGAGTCTCAGGAAAGACCCCTGTGCTCAAATTTTTTAGTTCTGTTGCTCTTTTTGTAGAGCTCCTGTCCTCTCCAGATCTTACTATTTCCCACTTCTTTCATAAGATTCCATGCACTCTGCCCAACAGTTGGCTGATAGGATATGTTTAGTGTACAAAGAAAAATGCAAAATTGTATAGTATAAGTCATCAGAGTAACTTTCTGGTTTAAGAAATGAGACTTCACTGGAAGCACAGACTAAGTCTTTACATTATCATCTACAAGGACAATTCATTGATTTTAAGCCAAAAGTTAGTTATGTGACTTTGGTTAGTGTTGTGATTTGAATGAATGACTCTCATAGGCTCATATGTTTGAATGTTTATTTCTCAATTGGTAGAACTGTTGGGAAGGATTATGAGGTGTGGCCTTGTTGGAGAAGGTCATTTGGGGTTTCCAAAGCCCACTGCAGGCCCAGTCTCTGCCTGCCTGGGACCATGCATGCTTCCTGCCATGTGAACCATGTCCTAATCCTCTAAAACTGTACACAAGCCCTCGATGACGCGTCCTCAGTCTCCTCACAGCAATAAATCGGTAAGATAGGTAGTATTTGTACCTTCCTTGTTCTGTATTTTAATAAGGTTGTTATAGATATTTACCATAAAAACTTAATTTGGCAATTCTTCATATGTTCTAAATCACTCATATGCTGTGATTACCCCTTTAGTTTTTCGGAACAAAATAACAATAATTGCATAATTGAATGTTAGGATTCTAGCAAAGCTTCTTTTGAAAAAGATTAGCAAACAACATTAACAAAATTTAGAAGTGTTTGATAGATTTTTTTTTAAACTCACTTAGAAATGAAACAAGGAAATTATATACTTACCTGGCAAGGGACATACCGTGATTACAAAATAGCTTTCACAGGGTGAGACTCAGCCATTGCAATCTGGATGAGCTGATCCCTGTGATTTCTCCAAGTTTGGGAAACTCAACTGAATAATTTGTGGTAGGTGAGGGACTGTGCTCCCACTCTCCCTTAGAGCAGAGAGATGAGGAAAATTATGAGAGAAGAACAAAGTGAAAATGAAAATAAGCATTCTCTTACTTATCCCCAAGGAAAACAAGTTTTGGCTCTTCAAGTTAATTCTTCCCACATGAGAATCAGTCTCCACTGCTTCATAGAGTGATCCATTTATATCCCTTGGAAATGTCTAACAGTTAACACCTAGATTGGATTACGAACCTGATGTGTACATTTAAAATAACATTTTGGTTTCAGAGAAATATTACTATTTATAGCCTACCATGAATCTCAAAGGCACTTGTTATGAATGAATTAAAATTAAATTTAGTTCATTCTACTATTGTATTCTACTGTACAAGCATTAGCTTGTGTATTGCCACTGTCGTGGGCACTTACATTATCTGAAGCTTTTGCTAGTATAAACAGTGATTGATTAATAGTTATCTTCAGGCATGACTCCTTGTGCCTATATAATTAACATATTAGTTTTCCTAGGCTAGTGCTTGTTAAACTTGTTCACATCGTGTAAAATATATTTTATTGCCCATGTATTCACTTGAGTGGAGTGCCATATGGTAAAGTCACAGATCATGACAGGATCACACAGAACTAGAAGGTCTTTGGATGTGAGCAGAGCAGTCATATTGCTGGATTAAAATGCTTGTACACATTGCCCACTTGTTAACACTACCTATGGTTGCCTTCACACTAATGTGACAAGATAGTTGTTAGGGACCTATGGATAGAAAAGGTGTGTGTGTGCTTAAAAAGATTTATCAGAAGGAACGGACTTGCATGATCATGAGAAACCCATTACCTGACATTTGCAGGTAACTCAGTGCCTCACAGATTCTCTTGTTTTCTTCCGGAAGTGTTATACTTTCAGTTGTCATATATTTATCATTAATTTTTATATTTAGCAAAAACAAGATAAAGATTGAAATGATGGTTTTACATGTTTCTCTCCAGTTTTTCCACGCTGTCTGCTAAATATTTGTAAAAATTAGTCAACAGTGTAGTAAAGGATCCTTTTCTATTTTCTCCATTCTGTGGGTCTGCTCTATTTTTGTATATGCTGCGCCTTGAAATTTTGCTAGTCTTCAAATACTCCAACATGTTAAGCATAAAGAGCATCTCCCTAGTAGTACTACTGCTAGGTCATAGCAAGCTATACATTTTGTTAGCGTGGTAGATGCTCCAGTGGCATGATCAGTTAGTGTGCGGTACTTAGAGAATATTTTGTTAGCTTGTCTACATATGTTTGATCCCTTTATGAGAATTATTTTAATGTCTTTTATGTTTCATGTTTCTTTTAGCTGATTATTTTATACTTCCATTAAAATATTGCCAAAAGTAAATGGGGCTTTTTTAAGTCTTCCATGTTGTCTCGGTGTTCAGAAACATAAGTCTAATAAATTAGCTCCTTTACATATACTGCCCATTTCTCAAAATATATTGTACTCCTTATCTTACTAGTCTACCTACAAATGTATTCTTTAGAAGCAGCTAGTGCTTACTCCCTGCTTTCCCTTCCTTCTCCCTCTTTCCCCTTCCCTTTCTTTTCTCTCCCCACTCTCACTCTAGGAACTATACACACTAAGCAAGCACTGTACCCCAAAGCTACATTCCTACCCTTTAAATCAATTCCACATCTATCAAGTAAAGAAAATAAAACTAGACCGCATGGTTTCTGGATTTCTTACAAGGAGCAAATAAGGTAACATGCATGAGAATATCTGAAAATATTTTAAAATATGCCCTTATTTATAATAGCATTCCACTAGCACTAATTTGCTTGGCATTTTATGATGAGTTTTAATTCATTCTGGGATTTTATATTCACATATGTGTAATTGTTTAAATAGACTAAATATTAAAAACCTGTTTTAAGATTCTTATTTCTAATGTTTCCAGCAAAACTGCAAAAAATTAAGCTGAAAATATTAATTTAGAAGATTTTTATTAACTAAATAAGGTATTTTTCTTACAAAGTTCAGTTATATGAGTCTCTTTGAGAGTCTTCAATTTATTTTTGGTTTGTTTCCAAATAACTTTAATGCACCCAACAACAAAGTTCATGAGCATTTATAGGACTACAAATTACTTACTCAGTGATAACAGGTGAAATTCACAGTGTCTGGCACAACTGAAAATTACCAAGCCTTGCTAAAAAAAAAAAAAAAAAAAAAAGAAAAAGAAAAAAAATAGATCATCTTCACCAAAGAAAAGTGATTTTAGGCCTAGATCTGTAGCTAAGTGCTTTGTATACACAGTCCCCAGGGTCCATCCCCAGCATTTAAAGGAACACCAAACAGTTCTACAACAGAAATGACAAGTATGGCACTGGGATGAACAGGGCAGAAGGAGATAGGACCATATGTTCTAGGCTGACCTATGCAACATGTATAGACCCTGGGGGAAGGCAAGAAGAAAGGGAAATTAATTTATAGTTTTAAACCCTTCCATAAGGAAAATATCAGGTCTGGATGTCTTCACCAGTAAACTGAACATTTAGGAAGGACTCAGTACCAGTGCAGAAAGTAAAATATGTGGCGGGATTTTAATCCAGAAACATGGCTACTCTGGCTAGAATATAGACACACCCTTAGCACATACCTTTAACTCCAGATGATGAAGGTAAAGTCAGTTTGTAAAAGGAAACACCCCTGTTTGAAAATGACATCTAATTGTGAGGCAGACAAAGTGATGAATCAGATGAAGATTTGATAGAATGAGTCAGGATAAGTACTTCCAACTCTCACCAGAAGAGACAGGAAAACAAGGACTTAGGAGAGCAGTTCAGAGAGAGAGAAAGAAAGAGGAGGGGGGAGAGAGGGAGGCAGTTTTACTGGGATAGTTTCACAGTGAGCGTAAGGAGAGAATAAGCTAGACACAGGTGAAGACAGAATGAGCCAGAGAATAAGAAGGCAGAAGATTAGAACAGATTTCTAGCGTTAGTTTGTGGTCAAGCAGAGCAATTCAGTGAGAAACTGAGAGGAGCCAGATTGAATCATTCAGCTTGGAGAGGACTTTGAGACAGAACAGCTGAGTTGAACCAGCTATCCAGAGCTCAGAAAGAACTAGAAAGGGTGAATTTATTCAGCAATAAGTCTCAGGGGCTGAAAGCATTCTAGGCCTAGATTAGATTGTATGAAGTCTAGAAGCTTCCAGGACTAGGCCTAGGTTAGCAGATGGAGGCTGTAAGCCTCCAAGGTGACAATTACATGAGGAGAATAAAAGATACTTTAACAAGAATACTTACTTTCCACATTATTGTATAAGGCAGGGTCACCTTTAAAACGAGGTTTGGCTTCCTACAGCAGAGAGATCCCCAGATGAACAGATTGATGACAAGTTCATTTGGGTGCATGAAATATGGGGCACAGCAGATCACACATCCAAGAAGAAGACTCAGTTGGTTCTATGAGACAGCAGACATGTTGGATCTAAGGTCATCGATCATTTAATTCTCCCTCATTCTAACCTCTAACCTCTTTAAGCATTCTGGCTTTTCCTTCCATCTGGCTGTTTGAGAGGTTGAGGCAGGAGAACTATGAACTCAAAGCCTGCTTGGCTTCATAGTTCTGCTGGCAAACTCCATTCAAAAACAATGTGAGTATCTTTGACTTTGAAGACACTGAATGTTTAGATGCTCTTCACTTTGTGTGCTATGGAGATCTGTAGAGCAGTAACTAGATCTCATGAGCCTTGCTAACTAGACTGCCATGAACTCTGTATATTACATTCCGTTTAGTGCCCACAATAACCTGTATGCTCACATTTCATATAAATATGTGACTTGCCAGAGGTGCTGCAGGTAGTAAGATACAGAAGCCCAGTCTACCATCCAAAACTGAGCTTTTTTAAAACTTTGTATATATTTTTTAACTGATTAGTTAATTTACATCCCAACCGCAGTTTTCCTTCCCTCCTCTCCTCCCAGTCCTTCCCCCGACTTCCCTTCCACCCTCTTCATCCATTCCTCCCTTTCTCTTCAGAAAAGAGAAGGACTCCCATAATTTTCCACCAGCCTTAGCCTATCAAGTTGCAGTTAAAACTTGGCATATTTTCTCCTATTGAGGCTAAAAAGAGGCAGCCCATTAGGGAGAAAGGATCCCAAAGGCCGGCAACAGAATCAGAGAAGGCCCTGTTCTTGCTGTTAGGAGTCCTATATGAAGACCAAACTGCACAACTGTTACATATGTGTGCAGAGATCCTATGCCAGTCCCATGCTCCCTAGTTGGTGATTCAATCTCTGTAGGCCCCTATGAACCCAGGATAGTTGATTCTGTAGGTTTTCTTGTGATGTCCTTTGAATCCTGATCTTAAATTAGCAAGTGATCATTTTCAGAAATCTCCATCCGGCTACATTTTTAAAAGGTTGTTTTAAAGAGCAGCAGCCGCAGGGACATATATAGTCTATAGGCATCAAATATTTCCTACTTGTCCCTTTGCAGAAAAAAAAAAAAAAAAAAAAAAACAGTTAATAATTGAACTTCTTATACTCAGAAAACTCTCAGTCTAAGCAGGAATAAGCTCAAACATTTAAAAAGTCTTTCTCTTGGGGTCAGATGTGGTCAATAGTATTGTAAAATCATAAACAAGACTCCAAAGGATGGGGGAAGAATATGCCCATTCTAGCCAGATAAGTAAAAAAGAAATGGCATTTTAAAATTGTTTTTGGCATAGTTGCTAAAATAGCCAGAAATCTTAGGGATGGCATCCTACACACTGGAGTGTCTGGCAGATAATGATAAAATGTCCAGGTGCCTGTCACATCTTGCTTAGAGAGGGTTCCAAAATATCAGAACTGGGAATTATTTTTCTTCAGCCTCTAATTTGCTGAATTGCATAGAAGAGAGACTTAAGCCATCTGCTTCTCAGTTTAGCCTTTAGTCAGATGTGACTTAAAAACTCAGTTTTGATGGCTAATTATATTTCATTTTCAAGTAAAACTAAAAACTGATACAAGGTACTTGGATTTACATGATTTTTTAATTTAAAAAATGTTTCAT